GGTCAAGTGGACCATGAGATGTGCCCTCAAAAAGTAGTCCCCACCATCCAGCTAAACAGTTACGGTGGTCCATGAGTCAGTATGACCCATATCTCATGCCATCTCTCCTGGGCAAATTGGACATAAGGGCACCGCACAAGGCCCTGCTTTACCTATCAGGGCCTTCTCTGAAGGGAGCTGTAACCGTCTATTTCTAGCTACAACCTGTATCATATCAGCTCATCTGAAAACCAGGCTTGACCTTTTCTCCTGATTACTTGTTATACAGACTTTCCCATGAGGCCATAAGGTTGGGCTGAGGGAAGGATGGCAGGTGCAGCAGGAATAGGTAAAGCAAGCGTCTGAGCTTCCTCATTTTGAAATTTACTTAATTTCAGGTACTCGTCACACCTGACTATACTACATGTATAAGTTTAACTTGAGGACATAGTATTCCTGGACATGTCCACCTTTGTGACCAGTTGAATCAGTCAGTGGCCACTTCATGATGGGTTCCATGGCTATCTAGTATCCCATGGTGGAGGTTTTGAGGTTATCTAAAATAGTCAGGTGTTCAGTTTGCACTATGACCCAGTAGCAACAGTTCCGTGCTGAATAAGAGCATGGCTTAGCCCCCAAACCTTAGGTCCTTCCACTATTCTATTTTGGTTCCAAGTATCGCAGTCAGCCATAGGTGCTTCCATTAGTCACAAGGGCCAAGGATACAGTTGCTTGCATTTTATACTGGACCACACAGAGAGCTTTCTCTCAGCTTCACGTAACACTGACAGCTTTATCGGCCACTCAGTAAATAGACCGGAGTAGTACACAAAATAGATTGGCACGTGTTGCTTCCAAAGTCCAATGAGATCTAAGCAGTACTTATCATCTACCCTCTGGCACATACATGTCTTACCAGGGTATCCTAGGGTACCTGTTACTTCGTGCCATCTTGTCCTGTGGGACTCTAAGATGATGAAGGTTACTGCAGACTGGTTACAGCGTGGAACCAGAGTTGACAGGGCACTAATGCAGCATGAACGTATCCCGCTGCCCCGCCAAGTAGCTTTATGTTTTCTTTTCTATTGAGAGAGAAACACACATGTGTACACACACACACACACACACACACACACACACACACAGGTCAAATCAGTAGCTGCACACCAAATCTAGTAGAATCCACATCTGTATCAACAACTGCAACTGGAATTGCTCCCTAATTAAGTCTGTGATACTGAATACTACTGTCAACCTCAAATATTGACCTTCATTATAGGCTTGCCACACAAAAAGAGAGATGATAGGAATCACCACATTGCATCTTTCAAGTTTCTGATGGTGACATTAATCTTTGTGATTCTCTCAAAAGATGCAGTATTTCTTTTACTTTGCTATTTTGGCAGGGAAGAAAAGCCTAGGAGTTTCTTTTTAGCTCTTCTAATCACAGTAGTTCTTATTACATGGATCAAAGTGAAAATTTTGGAATTTTGCCTATTTCTGAACATATATTCCATTTATAAACTCAGAATCTGGACAGGTAATCATAAGACAAACTCCATTTGTGTTTTTCACCCATAAAGCCTTCAACTTGACTGGTCGAACACAGAGGTATTTACTCCTTGGGGATCAACATTAGTTCAGGGACAATGTCCAATAAATCCTGAAAGGTTTGGTTATTTCACTTTCTCCAATGCACAGTTGTCCTCAAAAGCAGATACAGATCCTTTGGGAAAGTGTAGAAGTAAGAGCTAAATTCCATGATTATGATTACTAGGGGCCTGATGCACGAAATCGTGCAAGAGTAGGCCTTCCTTCCCCCAGCTGCAGGCACCAGCTTCCCTCTGGCACCCGGGATCCAGGCTTCCTTCCGGCACCAGAGACCCAGGCTTCCCTCCGGAACCCGGGCTTCCCTCTGGCCGCTGGCAGGCACCCAGGACCCGGGCTTCCCTCGCAGCCCCGGCTTCGTCCAGAAGGACTTCCAGTCTAATTAGCATATTACTCTTTTATTATTATAGATTGATATTATTGAAGGGTTCTTCCTTAAAAACCCAACCTCTCCCTCAATTTGGGGATTTAAGACGGCTTCCTATCTCGGTCTGGGACCTAGAAGAGAGGCCCTGGATATTGCTGATCAGACAAGGCCTGTCACTTGACCTACAGATCAGATAGGAGTTTCTTGGTCTTCTCAGCTGCTTTAGTCCTAGAAACCCCTCATTAATTATCCACCACCAAAAATTCCTATAATTCAAACCATTACTTTGGTCCTCCTTCTTATGTCCACTATGTCTATCTTACCTGGGGACACTTAGCTCTGCTGCCTCAGCATTTGCTTATCCTCATTGAAAGCATCCCATTTCAAAGGCAGCACCTACAATACTCACCTTCCTCTCCATGACTTCCTGGAGGTATGTTAAGAGTTGGATAAGCAAGATACATGGTAAATCTCCCTAAGTCTTTATATTTCAACCTCTGTATTTCACTGAGACATTTTTGCCATCTAGATACTCTATTTCTATTCCAGGCATTATTATATCATGCAGCAGACAGAAAGTTACTTTGAGTTACTTTGTTTTAGGGCCTAGGAGAATGCCATTTACAAACATTTTGGCAACTTTGATAAATTCCAAGTTTTATCATTTGGATACATTTATTAGTAATCTATAATAATAAAAGCGTAATATGCTCATTAGACCGGACAGACGAATGACCTTCCAGACGTCATTCCAGACGAAGCCTCGGTGAGCAGGGACCCAAGGCAGAGGCAGTTAGGGGCGATCAGGCAGGCATGCAGAATGGTTAGAGGCAATCAAGCAGGCAGGCAAGTGGTTAGGGGCAATCAGGCAGGCAGGCAGAGTGGTTATGGGCAATAAGGCAGGCAGGTGAGCAGTTGGGGGTGATAAGGCAGGCAGGCAGAGGCTGTTAGAGGCGATGAGGCAGGCAGGTGAGTGGTTAGGGGCGATGAGGCAGAGTGGTTAGGGGCAATCAGGCAGGCAGGCAGAGTGGTTATGGGCAATAAGGCAGGCAGGTGAGCAGTTAGGAGTCAGCAGTCCCAGATTGCAAGAGGGATGTCCGGCAGTCAGACATCCCCCAAGGGGTCCTGGATTGTGAGAGGGTGCAGGCCGGGCTGAGGGACCCCCGGAGTGTACAAATTTGCACCGGGCCTCTAGTTTATAATAATAACTAAGAAACAGAAGCTAGTCAAGTAACTCCTCAGAGTACTTTTATGTCTATTTTCTTATTTCCTCTTATATAAACTTGTGGGAGAAGTAGGACTAGAGTCTTACAGATGAGGCAACAGATTCAGAAAAGGTAATTAACTTCTCCAGGGGCAGAACTAGGCCTAGAGCATATTTGTCTTGTGCTCCTTCTTCACCACATAGTATCTGAGTGGCATGTAGATTTATGCACAGGTATCTGTGCACACATACAGTGAACCCTGCACACACGCCAGGCCTCTATCCAGGAATGACAACTATAGTCATGTTATTGTTCCTAATAGCAGCATATCTTAAGAAACTCAAAAACAATATTTTTGTTGTTTGGATGAATATAAAATCGGTTTTTTATAATAGATACTATAATTGCTACTTATGGTTGTAATATTTTTTTCTAAACACTCTTACCTAAAAAATTGCCCAAAATATAACTCTCGAAAGAATTTTCAGTCTCATTTTTAATCAGAAAAATATAAGTTAAAGAATCTTTGACAGATTACTATTTTTCAACTGTGTGCATTTATCTGTGCATACACATATATGAATGCTGACAAGGTTTACAGTATAATAGATACATAGAAACTTTATAATCCCATATAATAAAAGCCTAGGTGGCGTCACGCATGACGTCATCACAAGATGGCTGCCACAAGATGGCTGGCAGGGGAGGGCAGTTGGGGGCAAGATCAGGCCGGCAGGGGAGGGCAGTTGGGGGCGAACAGGCCAGCAGGGGAGGGCAGTCAGGGGCGATCAGGCCAGCAGGGGAGCAGTTAGGTGTCAATCAAGCCAGCAGGGGAGCAGTTAGGGGGTGATCAGGCTGACAGGCAGAAGCAGTTAGGGGCAATCAGGCAGGCAGGCAGG